CATTGTCAATGATTCTTAAAATTTCTTAACAAGCTCATTTCGCATGTGGTATCACATCACATATAGTGAATTTTGCTTATTTTGGAAGTTAAAATTATAGAAGTTCCATCATGACTAAAATGCCCTTATTATTATTAAAGCGAAATGAGTCTTGAAAGGGGTATTTAGGACTTTGAGCATTTAAACATAACCCTTCCCTATTAAGGGGCCGAAATTCAAGGGCTGTTTGGTTGCTTGAATTAGGAGTGTAAAGTAAAACAAATACATGTATTTATTAAATTTGGTTGTTTGGTTAATTTTGAGTGGAACAAAAGGAAACACTCTGAAGCATTAGACGTGTATTACGGAGCTTGTTTTGTGCGAATTAGAAACCCGCTCATATTGAGCAGGTTATAAATTTGCTCGACGAAGAATTCCTTCGCGTTGTTGATGTTCGGCGTCATTGCTTCGCAGGAGGTGTAAGATTGCACGAGAGGTTTCTTCGGCTCCTTTGTTCTTGTTCGACTTTGCCATCTAGGAAGCCGCTTTGCCATCTAGGAAACGAGATCCGCCATCAATAGTGACGATGAGTACGACGGCGGAGCGGCGTCGGCCGGAAGCCGCGGTATCCAAGTCCTATCTTCCATCCCTCCTCGCCACCAGAGGAGAGACGTCTCACCCAACACCGCCGCTGCTGATTCACCGACGTAAGAAAACCAAGCTGGGTCCGGCCGCTGCCTCCTCTTCCTCACCTTCACCCCCTTCCGGTGGTGGCGGCGAGGGTGATTGGGAACAAGAGCTTCTCAACCGGCTCAAGGAACTGGAAGATATGAAAGAGCTTGAGAGGAGCGCTGAGGAGCTGCAGAGCCACAGCACCCCTGCCGCTACTGAAGAGGAGGGCGAGGGGGGCGGCAAAGACGAGAGCGAGGACGAAAAGCGTGAGCGCGTCCGTCGTGAGCTCGAGAAGGTCGATCGCTTCTTCTATTCACGATAGAATTAAATGATTTTGTTGGATTTAAAAATACAAATTGAAGAATTGGGGAGAAGGTTATTTTAGAGGCACACTTGGCTTCAAAGAAGTGTGCCCAACAACAACAATGCCTATATTCCTTCTATTTCTGATTTTTCATTCTTTTCTTTCTATCGTGTTTAGACGTCTTTCTTTTCACTTCTTGTCCTTCTACTTATTATCGTATTTTTATTCATAAATCCTTAAGCTTATCGATACACGTGCGAATGTCCAAAGGGTTAGAAAACAAAACTCCTTTTAGTCTTACAACTTTAGAAAACAACTACAACCCTTCTTTGAGACATTTCAACAAATTGTTGGACTACAATACTTGAGCAAGTGAGGGCATGAAACCAAAGGTTTGACAACAATGATACTCATTTTGCATCTTATAACAAAACAAAAGCTAACTTTACGATAATCATGATATGAGCTTTAGTGAAAGAGTACAAATTCTTAGTTCTAAGTAAACACATTGAAGCATGCTTGTAGATCTAAACTTCTCCAAACATAGACATATAGCATCCAAAGGATAAATATAATTGCGAACGAGAGAGACATATGCCTTCATGAAAGAAATTAGAGAAAATTAGTTATGTAATCCTTCAATCCTTTCTTTCTTTTATGCCAAACATGAATGAGTAAAAGCGAAATTACATAGCATAAAACTCAACACTTATGCCAAATATATTTAGAAAAAGAGAAGGAAATTATCATGTCCTCATTCTTAAACTCAAGGGAATAGAGCATGATATCATCACAACGCAACATAGATTTAAGACATGGGAGTATAGATTTAAGATGAGCTATATAACTATTTTCCAACAAACTTCTAATTTCCACCCATAAGCTAGCAAATATCTCCAAGGGCATTTTAACACAAATCCGTAAGCTTACTTTAGTGGTACCAAACATACGATTTTGCAAGTGTTTTAATGGATATCAACTACACTCCTTCAAATTAGCTCATGACATTAAGTACAAAGCTATACTAATCAAATTCTAATCGTGCATGTTTCAAGATATATGCAAAATGAACTTCACTATATCATTCGCAAGAAGTTTAAGCTTTGTAAAGAAAAGACAATCTCAAATTTTCTTGCTTAAATATTTTCCTAAAACAATAATACTTCCACTTTGGAAATCCTTAGCAAAGAAGAGCAACTCATGTTTGAAATTCTTATTTCAAAAGTATATAGAAATCATGCTTTCAAGTACTCATGTAAATACTTGAATAATGACAAATTTTATCCAACAATCTATATCAAATATTACAATAAAGAGTAAGAGAGATGATATATAAAACTTTCATGCCAAATATACTTTCAAAGCCTTAGACAATGTTCGATCGAAATCAACAAGCATGCCCATAGATTTCATAACTAAGAACTACTCAAGGAAGCAACTCCTTTTTTTTATGTATGCAAAACAACCACAATTTTTTTTGAGGCATTATCATAAGCACTATATAGGCAATGTTGCAAGACTATATGAAGCATGCTAGCATAAAAGTCACGATTTACACAAATGCTTGATTGAAACCATTCAAGTAACTTACACAATACTTTCATGATTCATGCATCAATCATCTCATAGGTGGTTAACAACAACACTCTCCATGTAGTGAGTATTCATGGAATGAAATATATGAAACATTCACACATCACATTAACCTTCTCTTTGTAATGACCATAAAAGAAAAAGCACAAAATTATATGGGATTTACTCGTGCCGGCAAAGTAGACTTTCCAACGAAATTCATGAAATTCATCTTCTTACCAAGGAAAACCACTACAAACTTTAATAGACATTGACACAAACACCCTACATGCATGATTTGATATAAGATCAATATGGCCTCTCATAATCCCAAACCATTCATCCCTAAAACTCTACAAAATATAGCATAAACCAAGTATAATTTTGACATGCTAGTTGCTCACTCCCAAGTATATAAAACTACCCATGGCTAGCAACAACACTTTCCATGTTTCAAAAGCAATATGACATCATTTGATACTCAAACAGATAATGATAAAACTAAATGATAGGGAATGTTATGCCAAGCTATTTCTAATAGAAATCAAAGCATTTCAATTTCATATTGATGGAGAGACATTAGCTGGATGAGGAAAAGAAAGGGGAAGGTACTCATCTTGCAAAGAGAAGGAGAGAGAGACGGCAGCAAGGTCCAGAGCCGAATCCGATTTTGGCATGCAAGGAGAGACGGGAGCAGGGAGAAGTCACGACCTGGGCTGCTTCGGATGGGAGCTCGTCGGCCTCGCTGGGTTTGCGAACGAGAGGGATGCGAGCAGGGAAGGAGTTCCTCCTCCTTGCTTCTGATCTGGGCCGTGGATTGCGACTAGAATCCCGAGAGAGCGTGAGGAAGGGAGTGGGTTCGGTACAAAGAATCGAGAGAGAGACAGAGTGGAAGGGAAGTTCGGCCTTGTCCAGGAATCCACAAACCAGAAATCGAAAAGGGGGCTCGGTCGGGGTCCTCTACGCAAGGGAAGATGGGAGGAGGATGAGGGGCTCGGCCTCGGAGAAGAAGAAGCTGCCGTCGGACAAGGCGATGGGTCCGACGTCGCCTGGAGCTCGCGACCGAGGAATGGGCAAGGCCGGCGTCGGGCTTTCCCCTAGAGCTCGCGAACGGAGGCGTGAGGGCTCCGATCTCCTGTAGTGAGACCGGCGGATAGGGCCGGTTGGTGAGCTCTCGGTCCGGTCCTGAACAGAGGAGCGGTAGAGGGGAGAGCGAGGGCTTCGGCCTTGGAAGAGAGGGCGACCGAGAGAGGGAGAGAGTGCGAATCAGAGATTGAGAGAGAGAGAGGGCCGGTGTCGGGTTTGGTTCTTCGTGTAAGCGAGGGACGGAGCGGAGGAGGGGGGAATCAGTCCGCCTGGGCTCACACGAGAGAGAGGAGGAAGAGGGTCGGGATTCGCCTGGGGCTGCTGCCAAACGAGAGCGAGAGAAAGTGAGGGGCTCCGGCCTCTTGGTCTCTGCGAACCGAGAGCAAGGGAGAGAGTGAGGGAGTCCATCCGAATGATCCAACCGAAGGCTTCGTCCCAGCCTTCTAACGTCTCCCGACGCTTTGCTCTGATCCGAAAGCTAAAAACGGCACTGCAACATTCTGCCCTTACCTAAAGTCGTTCGAATCCATTTCTTATTCGAGGGCTCACACGGCTGAGAGGCTCGACAACGACAGATTCCAAATTTCGGAGAGGTCAAGACCATCGAGGCAGCTTCTTTATTTGGGAAATCAATTCAAATTAAACCAAAACTGAATTGGAGTTTGCTTAAATTGAAATGAGCCAGTTTGACTCAGATTTAGGCTGAAACCGGGCTCAATTCAAGGCCAAAATTGGGTCAGTTTAAATGTGAATTCGATCCAAATTGGCCTGATTTAAAATCGGGCTAGGTTCGACAATTTGATCAAATCAAA